TGAAGTGAGCCGCATCCAAGGGTTGTGTGTGTTCCTTTGTTGGGTCAAATTGAGATTTAGAGGGGAGACGAGCTTCCTTTTCTTTGTGGAAGCCTTGGTACAAAAATATTAACAATGGCCTCGAATCGTCATTTTGAAAACTATTTGTCGGTTTGTTGTCTCGTCCGATTTTCATCAAATTTCGCCAAAATATTAAAAGAATAATGAAAAACGAAAGTGTGTTGGGTAAATTTTGATATTTTAAACAATTTTCCTGTGGCTTCCATTTACGCAACAAGCCTCGCTTATTTTTAGCTACTCCAACTTTAGATGCCGATTCCTAGACAATCACTCAGAATATCGATTGTTTCACGCCTTACCAGCTCCTGACACTTTCTTTAAAAAAAAGTCGCTTAAATTATATTTTTATCGTAAACAGCAGTTATTTAGCTTTGTCCTGATGTATAGTTTGCTAGAATTTTAGCGAAACTAACGCGTGTGCGAATTTTATCGCTGAGGACACCCGCAAAGGTGGGAAGTAACCTTATGTAGTATGAAATGATGCTAAGTCACCATGGAGAAAAACATGGCAAAAACCTCAAACTACTGCGGTACTCGGCGAAGTAAGATACTGAAAGAAAATAAATATTTCCATCCACCTAAAAATGTCAGTGATTTTAAAAAAGCAACAAAAGAGGAAGTAGAAATTAGCTTGCGCATGCGTGTAAGCGAAAGGAAGTCCGAGACATTAATCCAGTCTTCGAATCAACTAGCTTTTTCTTTATTCGCTGAGAAATGTACTTAGTTTTTGTAGAAAGAAACGTGTCACAATCTTTTGGTCTGAAATGGGTTCACGATTTAGAGAAGTACATAGAATGACGAGTAGTACCCCCTTCGATCGCTGTACGTGTTTGGGTGTACGAAAATGATCTTTGACCCATAGAGCGTCAATCAATTGGGGGTATTAATTACTTGTTGCAGCCCGTGGAGCTGTGGCATGTAATATTGAAATTGATATGAAGGAATACTTCTCTTCTCTTTTACGCTTAGGTCGAAATTTCACTAAAAGCAAATAAATACAATTGAAAGCAATTACGATTATAATTGGCAGACAATAAGCGAGAGGTGCTCGAAACCGTTAAAAGAAATCAACAGCGAAATGTAAGAATGTTGCGTAAGAATGGTAGCTTGTTAGTTAGTTAGTTTATAAGTTCAATCCTTTTAGTTTCTATGATCCTTAATTTTTCATGATGTAAAATCGTTGGTCGCCAACTTTCGTTCTTCGTTTCGTTCAAAACCGAAGTTTATAGCGATACACCCCGTCTCTTCCAATATTCCATTAGGTTCTCCCGAGAGAACCTTTGATTGACGCTTTTGCAATCTGGAAACTTTCCATAATGATGCAATTGACCATGGTAAGGTTATAGTTTTTAACTTTTGGAATTGCAATTAGGACAAGTTTACTTAAACCCTTTTTATAAGTAGCCTTAGATGCAGAAAAGTATTTTGAAAGAAACGATTTTGCCGAGGTAAACTAGAAAAATTCCGCACCGCTGACTGGACTGCGCTCTCAGTTCCGCACCGTGACAGGCCCAGGCGGATACAAAACGTGTGAAAAACAATTACTCGCCCTCACTTGGCCTTGACGTTCAACGTTGGCGTTGCAGCGTGTGGTAAGTAATACGTTTTCCTTGATAGCTCTACTGGTAAGTAACAAAGCGCATTTGATGCGTCTAGAAAAATGTTTCAACAAATCTTGCAGGGCTCCCGAAGGATTTTAGGAGCGTACTTTGAGTAAATTGTTTTTGCGCTTGGAATCGACGCTGGCTAGTATACCCGGAGAGAGCTACGCGCTGTGTAGAAATTTCTTAATTTTTTCAGCGATCGAATCGGCGATGATGTGTATTTTACAGCTAACTAGAACTCGTAATTTTCATGGGCTACGCTGAGTGACATAGGTAGAACTTCAAACTTTTAAAAATAATTAGCTTTGAGGCAACTTTTGCAATGTTATCAGCTGCGCTAGAGCAAAATGAAATATGAAACCTTGTAGAACCTACACAATTTTAGCATTTCCAATAGCTCTTTGTACATCTCGATCGGGTACAGCCTGTAAATATGAACTCAATGTTATGATTTTGAAAAGGAATTTTTCAATTTATTGCTACCGTTGAAGTTTTGTAATAATCTTTGAATACTCTAAATCAGGACATGCTTAATAGAGGTTATGACAGCTATTGTTTAGCTTGCTTGACCTTTTGTCTCTGTGTAAAAGCGTGTCTCATTGCATGCCGCTGTTTTGCACAAGTGAAGGCGATTGTTTTGTTTTTGTCACGATCGAGAATTATGACCGTTTAATCTTATAAACTCGGGATCATGTTGCATTTCAATACAAATTTGGGGTGTCGACACTGTACAAGTTTGCTTCGCGGCTGTTCCTTAACTCTTTACAGGAATCCTTTCGTGTAGAGAAGTGTTGGGTGACGAGTTTAAGAACGACTACGGACGAGACTGACTCTAGTCCAGAAAAATTTTATTCTTCTCTTTCGAAAACGAAAGAAAATTTCCTAATCTCGACCAGCGGAGAGCATTATCTTAAAAACTGGAATAAATGGAAGGAGGGAGTGAACGAATTACTAGTAACAGCATCAAATTGAGTGTGATCTTCTTCGATCGACATGAGCATTTTTTTTTATGAACATATTTCTTGAAGTGCGATCCTAGATGCTGATTTCAATGCGTATTAAACTGAATAAACATTAAACTTTATAAGGAAGTGATGAATCTGAAAGGATCACAGAATTAGTTTTTGACTTGATGACTGATGGGATATACTTTTGCTCATATTTATAAATGTACATTTACATCTGAATGCAGTCCTTTAAACAATGTATATGCCTTTTTCATCTCACCACTTTTTCAAAATTTTTTTCTGCAGGCTTTTTCAGCCATGAATAACCTTAAACTTGGATTTGTCCTTATTGTCATAATTCAGGTTAGTGGAGTCATTTATATGTTAAATTTCAACAAACGTACTCTCCATACTGCTCTCCGTATATTTTCTTTGGTGCTGATAAGGAGAATTTGTTAAAGGATCCAAGATGTGGTGAACATTCCACCTAATGATATATTTTCAATTGTTTTCTTCTTAGGCTACTCTCTTGAGTGCTGGTAAGTTTTAATCTTAATTTGTTTTTGAGGAGAGCACATTCATAATGTTATTTCTACTTGAACTTTTGAAAATTTTAAATTGCTAATACATGCATTACATTTTTGGATTTGCTAGTCAACAAGTGCAAAGAATTTCTACACATTCCCTAAGTTACTTTTGGACTCAGTGTAATGTGTAATTTCAGTTGGTTATCACTTAAGTTAGTTTCACCCAATGGAACATGGATCATGAAAACACAGAAAAAATAAAAACCTGTATCACAGATTGTTTACTTGTTAAGTTTTAACAATGGAGAGACAGTGACTTAAGGCAGCACAAGTTGCAAATGTTGTGTTCAAAACCTTGTCAAGTTATTGTTTCTTGTTCTTAACCCACACTGCCACTTTGCACCCAGGAATTTAAATGGAGTTGACTAGTAATGGAGCATTGTGCTATCAAGGAGGATTTAAAATACTGTATTTTATTTGATTCAAGTCCTAGAAACCTCCTTAATCCAAATTCAATTGGTATGGCTTACAATTTGTCATGTCCTGTTTTCAGTCAAAGATGGTTTATGCCCAAGGGCATCACCTTATGGCCCTTGTGTCACCACCTGTGGGGCTGATGAAGACTGTGATGGTTCAAAAAAGTGTTGTAGTAATGGTTGTGGTTCTTGGTGCCTTGAACCAAGTAAGAACATTGTAATTGTTGGTGTAGTTTTCCTTAATGGATCACAGTTTGTTGTGATTCAAACTAGTTTGAAATCTAGTATGATTTGTTCTGTGTATGGTCACTGTTATGAGAGGAGAAGGCACTTATTCCATGGGAATGCCTATTAGAACACTTTGTGTGATAGGATGGGTGCATATTCCATAGAAAATGTTAAAATCTGAATCTCCTACTACCCTGAAAAGAATAGTGTGATTGAGAAAAACGACCTGTTGATTACCACCTACATGTAAGTGAGGTACTCTAGCTTTGAGCCTCAGAAGACCTTCAATTATCAAATGAATGTATTATTAATATGACAAAAATTCATAGGAAATAAATGTTGAAGTGATACCATAGTATAGCAATGTCTGCTCAGTACTTTCCACCAAAATGGAGATCTAATGTTTATGTTTGAAAATATTCTGAGATCTTTTTCAATCTGTAATGGTTCTGTAGTGGACTGTGCTGTCAAAGGAAAATTTTAAACAGGATTAAATGATATAATATTCAGCAACCAGGGGTATTAATGTTACTTTGAATTATTCAATTTTATATGAATTAATAAATCTGTTTACTTGAAACCCTCCAGTGTGTCCATCTGGTCAACAGCATGTGGACTGCCCTGCCCAGCTATGCAACTACGCTGGGTGCCCTGATAAACCTCAAGAGAGTTTGAGATGTGTGGTGGAATCCTGTGGCAAGTGCAGTGTGAAGTTTATAAACAAGACAACAGGACAAACTGTAAATTGTGGTCCAGGTAGATAAATAAAATGAGTCATGTCACTTGACTATTAGAAACTTTTTTTTACTCTGGCTGAAAAAAAAAAAAAAAAAACCAGTTGTTCCAGAAGGGAATTGTAACTTGGTCTACCAGCTTGAATATCCTGCCAGACCCTTCAAGAAGTTATAGTTTACTATATGCCTCAAACTCTTCACCCTTTGTACCTTAACTTCAGTATGCAATTATTTTCTTTACATGTTTCTATACATTTCCTAAGGTTCTGAAGAGGAGAATTACTTTTGTTAAACAATCAAGAGCCTCTTTAGTTGATGATCATCTCTTTTATTCTCATTACCCTAATTTGTGAGTCAGTGGTCATATTGTGAGGAGAATTCAGATGCCAGAGTCACTCTTGGCCTCAAGTTCTTAAATCAGATAGAAACTTTGAAAGGGAGCTATCAGTTTTATAAATAAACAATATTCACATCATGATCCTTGCTGAAAATTTTATTTTAGTTTTGAACCATTTGATGTTTTTGTTCTTCCTGTTTTTCTATAGAACCTTTCCTAAGCAAAGAAAAATAAAAATTAGGTATTATATATATTAGGTAATATCATGGAAAAAAATCGATAAAACAAAGGAAAAAATTTAAAAGTAAAACTTGTGGTTAAAAGGACCCTCAGACTGAACTGGATTATTAATTTCATGATGGGCCATTTACACTTTTTTTCTAGTGGAAACTTTGTGTAAGCGTATGCTAGCTGCTACTCGTAAAAAGCCCCTTCTTCTTGGTCAGTATGTACCTTCCTGTGATGCAAATGGACATTTTATCAGAGTTCAGTTCCACGAGGCATATTTCTTTTGTGTTGATGACAGAGGAATTCCTGATTTTTCCACCAGATCAAGAACTCAGCCCAAATGTCCAGGTATATGTTTATGTGTTATATAACTATTTGAGTAATAATGCACACTTTCTATCTGTTTAATGGCATAATAACCTATGTGGGATATTGGGAGAAAACAAGAAAAGATTGTAATTTATGAGCCTGAGGCCAAAGAGAGTTCCGACATAGTTACTGAGCATGCAGGGTGAACAGTTCTGAAAAGGGCTGTTTTTGATAGTAGTGACTGATGTTTAAACAAATTGAGCAGAGATTATGACTTCCATCAAGGTTGACAAAATCTCAGTCACTACTACGGACCAGCCTCCATATAAAGACTACTCTTACAAGAGTGATCAGACTACACAATCAGGTTCAAACCACTTACTCTAATGTAGTTACTGCTGCTAGCTTTTTTGTTGTTAAAGTCAGTGCTTCACAGCCTCTTATATTTTTAGATGGTTTATAGAAACAAAGCAAAATAAATAAATAGAGTAGCTGCAAACAGTGTGAAACAAATATTTTTGAGGTTTGCTGCAAACAATTTCTTAAATAATGTTTTTTCTTTTATATTTCAGAGTTATCTCTGTGCCAAAAGAAGAGGAAAGAAGCTGAAAAACTTCCTCCATTGGGTCGTTTTGTGCCACAGTGTAAGAGTGATGGTTCATTTAAGGAGAAACAGTGTCATTCATCAACTGGACAGTGCTGGTGTGTAGATCAGAATGGACATGAATGGAGTGGAACGCGAACAAGAGGAGACCTGGATTGTACAACTTCTGGTATATCTAGACGCTACTGGCAAAAATTTGCAAATTTTAGCCACAAACATGAGAAATGCATTTTCTGGTTAAAAATCTCTCTAAAATGCAAGCCGTCAGCTTAGTTTGAAAGGCCCAAGACTAATAGGGAAAGCTTTCATTTTAAGAATTTCTTTTTCAACCAGCAAACATTCTTTAATGTTGGCATTCATTTCAATGCCAGTTGCTTTTCTGCTTGTGTTATCAATTGCAAATGTGATATTTTTGTAGTAATTTATTGTTTGTCTCACTGATTATCAGATTAACAGTTTTTTTTAGGTATCTGTGGTGATCATGTGAATTGAAAAAAGTGGCTTCTTAGACTCTCAGGAATGTCACATGTTTTGTTAACATTCATTCAATATTTAGATGACCTTTTCTTAATCCTTTAACTCCCACCTCAAATTTGTAAGTCTCCTTACTGTCAAACATACACATCTTATAAAGTTAGTTCAGAGAATTTAGTATTGGATCAACTAATTATCCCCAAATTTATATTTTTCTTTATTCTCATCACTTATCTGGTTGATATTGTACTTATGTTGTAAGGAGAAATTCTGTCTGGGTTACTCATGGGAGTTAAACAAGTTGAATGATTGAGAAAGAAAGATCTCCCCTGCTCATTTCATGAATTGTTGAATTGTTAGACTATTAAGCTAGAAAATGTTGCATGAATTTCTTAACTGATTGCCAGCTAATGTTTCACTTTCTCCAAAGACATACAATGCCATCAGCAGTGTGCATGATATTCTCTTTTTTTTTTCTGATGATTGAAATTGTGTATCTGTTAATAATTTCTTGTCGTCATGTTAGGTCAACAAATGGCATCTCAATGTAAAGTTTAGCTTAGACACCTGCTCTTGAGGCATCTCCATCCTACCATTTGTTAGTGAATGAAAAGGCCCATTGGGGAGTGGTCATTTGGGTACACATGTACAAACATACATAGTAGAGAGTTTAACCCATAATGTAGATGACTGTATGGTCATTGCTGACAGAGAGATTCGATGTCATTTTCAGTGTGCCCAGTGTCAGTTAGAGGGTTTGACTGTGATCCAATGCTGTGTAATACAGCCTCATGCCCCGCCCACAAAGATGCTACCTGCAGGGTGAACACCTGTGGCAAATGTGAAGTGGAGTTCCTTGATAAAAATGGCAGAAAGGTTGACTGTAAGTATTGAAGTTGTTAGAGAGCAACTAGGTTTCGTTACTTGGTATGCTACTGTACAATTAGATGAAGTGTAGCACACTACTGTAGTGTTATGGTAATTGCTATTAAAGGAAGTGATGGATTTGAGTCCTTCAAGTATTGCCCATTTGAAACACGTACTAATAATTTTTAAAAACTACTTTAGCTGGGTTGAAGATTGAGTTAGACAGAATGTGTAGATAAACTTCATGAATGGATTATCTTGTTGTTCAGGCTAAAATTTTCCCCAGTTGCTTGGCCATTGATGATCTGTGGTTTAATGCAACTTGGTGGAATGGAGCTTATTTTAGAAGTAGTAATTATCAAAAGAATTGTAAGAAATTATACAGTTGTTACTTTTCCCTATTTTGAAATCATCACTGTGCTTGAAAATTGGTAAATTGGGGTTTGGCACGACAGATCAGAGCTGCTCTAAGCCTGTCCCCCTGGACAGGATGCTAGCCCATGGTAGTGTATCTTCAGCATTTTGTCAGATTCCATGGATGGTTCACGGTTACCATTCATCCATTCTTGGGTGGAGAGAGGCTTTGTAGGAGTACAGTGTCCTGCCCAAGAATATAACACCATGATCAGGCCAGCAGGGATTTAACTTACTCTGCACAACTCAGAGTCCCTTGGCTCTTGCTTTTGCATTTAGCAGTCATTTACTCTCCATACTTTGTTTATTCCTCTGAAAACTAGAGACTAACCATTATTTTTGGATAAATTGGTACATTTTTCGTTGTGTTTTATTTCTCCACTAGGTTTCTCCAAGTGCCAGTGTTACTAGAGACTAACCATTATTTTTGGATAAATTGGTACATTTTTTGTTGTGTTTTATTTCTCCACCAGGTTTCTCCAAGTGCCAGAATCAACGTCTGAAAGCCCTTGGTACTCACTCTCTAGATGAAAAACCAGCTCACCCCATTATTGGACGGTTTGTACCACAGTGTGCGGCAGATGGAAGCTATGAGGAAGTACAGTGTTATGGCTCCACTGGCTACTGTTGGTGTGTTGATGTTGGAGGAAACCCTGTGGTCGGAACCATGAATCGTGGCTTACCACATTGTAACAAGACAGCTATGGGAGGTGCTGTAACAGTTGAACTCACATAATTAATTCGCCTTACTAGTGTGAAATATCATGGCTGGTGAAATGACAACTGAGATATAATGAGATACAGTAGATGATCAGAAATCAATCACAGATTTAACCTTATCTTACTTTTGGCATTATAGTAGTATTGTATGAATAGGTCATATCCAAGTCCATGTTTAAATTTATAGCTTTATCTGTATGCAGAGAGAATTGTCTTGTTATCAGTTGATTGATCAAGATTCTCTTCTTCAATTCCATTTTTTTCTTGCAATGTATACATTTGATTATAATGAAAGGAGGAATTACTCTCTGTTTGTTCTTGATACTGAAATGATTTACTGATGAGAGCCTTACACAAGTGTGAAACAAAATCTATGTCACTGTTTTCCTCTCTAGTTTGCTCAGGGAAACCCATGTTCACCTGCTTACGCAACTTCTGTCAGTGGTCTACATGCCCTGCCCATCCTGAGGCAAAATGCCGTATTAACCCCTGTGGTGGATGCAAAGTTGAGTTTATTGATAAGAACAGCAAAGTGGTTGACTGTCATGAAGGTATTACCAAATTTTACATGAAGCTTGAACCCTTTAACTCCCAAGATCTCATTAGTAATTCTCCTTACTGTCTGCCATAGAGTTCTTGTGATTTCAGTTTGGAGAATTATGTATTGTATCCCTAATTATGTATTATGTATTTTTTTGTGCAAGAAATGGTTCCAAGACAAAAATTATTTGAGTAAACTATTGAACCCTGTTCTGGGATGTGCACTGAGATAAAAACCATTCAGCAATTTTCTGTCCACGATTCAGCTCTTTACAACTGAATGATATAACTGAATGTCCAGTGCTACATAAATTGGTTGTTTTAAAATAGGATAATTAGGTTTTATCAACTGAGTTGATGATTCAATTTGGTCTTCATGAAGAGTTTCTAAAGCTGACATTTTGAGCCGATGAAGGGTTAACACTCAAAATATCAGCTTTAGAAACTCTTTATGGTCACCAATTTACACTCAATTAAGTCGACTAACCTTAATTATCTTGTATAACCCCCCTCCCACCCCCACCTTTGTAGCACAATAGTTTCTTTAGAAACTCTTAACCCTTTGTTATAAATTAAGTGCTTCTAATTATAGTTCCTGCTACTTACAGGATGATTAAGTGCTCACCATAATTGTTTTGTTATATTTTTAGGTCTCTCAAAGTGTAAACTGCAGGAAAAGAAGGCCTCAGCATTCAGTGGCAGTGGCCTACAACCTGTTGGCAGGTTTGTACCAAAGTGTGAAGCAGATGGTAGTTACTCCAAGATTCAGTGTTGGTCATCTACTGGATACTGCTGGTGTGTGGACAAGAATGGTACTGAGTTGCAAGGAACAAGAGTCAGAGGCATGCCAGTCTGTCCTTCCCAGGGACGTTCAAGTATGTACATGTTAATGCAGGTGTATGGAGCAGCCCAGTCCAAAGGTTTTTTAGTGGTAGGCAAGATGAGTTGAGTAGTAGGCAGCAAAGGTTGAAGGCCTGTATTGCTTAAGGCAGCAGTAACAATGTCTGCAAGAACATTGACTGCTGACCACTTCAGTGGCTAATTTTCATGCAGTTGCCAGTATGTTCAAGTTGTTTCTTGGCCCCATTAATTTCTGCCACTTGGTGCTTGTACACATTTGCTAAATGATGGGGCCTTTGTCAATTCATTTGAAGAAACGGTTTCTGTTCATCTTTTTTGTTTCTTGCTCACAGTTTGAAACAGTAGGGACTATATATTTGTTGTCAATGAAGTTTAGTAGAAAGTAAGCAGCAGATATCTTGTTATTTGCAACAAAATTGCCTGTTGCTGGTACCTTTTGACTGGACTGATGGAGCAGATGTTATGTTCACTTGGTGGTAATATATTTAATTAACCCTTTGTCCCATAAGCATGACCAACATCTAATTTCTCCTTGCAATATCCTTGAATTACACCTTCAGATCACAGAAAAATAAGCAATGATCACCAACCAAAGAGGCTGTTGATTGTTAAAGAAATTCCCATCGGCAGCAACTTAATTAGGAAATGTTGAGAGAACAATATGAAGAACATGCATACTTATGTTAGGGTGTGGAGGGGTGAAGACTCTGAATTGACATGTCAGTCATAATCAATCAAAATGTTGGGTGGGTCATATGATTGTATGGTTCCATGTTTTAAGAGTTAGAAAAGTTTGTGTGTGTTTAAGCAATTTGTCAACTATTTCTGGCATATGTCCTTTTGAAACAAGAGTTTTGAATTTAAATGTCAGTCTGTTTTTAGTGGGTATTGTGTTATTTGCTTTGGGTATTTGAAAGAAGTCTTCACTAATTTATGTTCTTTTGTGGATTGGTTACCCATAATAGCGCTAGCAACATTATTGTTTCAGTCCCTGGTCAAAATGGGTCACACCCATATAAACAACTTCAGCAAGGTTTATCAATGTCATTGAAATCAAACCCAGTGCAAAACATTGAGAATGTTACAGTAACACTGATATGTTTCTCTTCTCAACAGAACGATCTATCAAGGATGGCTTTTGTCCAATTGTGAAACAGCCAAGAACTGGGGCATGCTCAAACAAATGTAGTTCAGATAATGAATGCCAAGAAATGCAAAAGTGCTGTAATGTCTCAGGATGTGGATTAACCTGCCAAGAACCTTCTTTTACAAGTATGTAAATTGCCTAAGCTGCTTTAGTTAAAGCCATTTTAGTTGTCACATGATTTTAGTCTTAAATTTTTTTCACAGCATTTCATTCTTGTAATTTTAAGCAATTTCACTGTTTGTTATCATATTGTATCTGCCAATTTTATCATATTTTTGATAAAGTGCACTGGATTATTGCCTCATGTAGCATGCATTATATGAGTTTATAAATTATTTTCATTATTATTATTGGTTCTTTTTTCTTATTTTCTTATCAGCATTCTTTCAACCTACAATTTTGTAATGTCCTCTCAGTAAACTTTGCCCTGGGGGACATTTCTGCCCCTCCAAAATGAGATATAGGTCTCTGCTTCCACAACAACAACATCAGTTACAACAGTTACCTCTTATGAAATATTAGGTTGGTGCTTGAAGAAAGAGGAGTTATCAGTTTTACTGAGGGGCTAAATAAATGTTCTGAGCCACTTTGAGACAATAATTATGTTTTCTTGTACATAAATCTGTGTAAAATGTCTAAAGTGGAGTTTTCAAAGAACATGCTTGAGACAGTTGGTTTGCCTTTGTATAAGTAGAAAAACTCAAGAATTGTATTGAGTGTATTGTTCATGGGAAATAGTTAAAGAATGATGTTCATTATTTCTCACAAGTGTGGGGCAAATAATGATCTGAGTTAAGTGTGAGGGTTCAAAGCCTAACCATACTTGATTCAGGATCAGATGCTCCACAAACTAATCATGGTTACATGCAAGTCTGTCTTTGAGCCAAGTGATCCATCCCAGCTTTCTGTAACATGAAGTGACCAGCTGGGTATTGACACTCCTCCCTGGATGGGATATTGGGTATTGACACTCCTCCCTGGATGGGATATCATAGTCCATTGCAGATGACCCCATACAATTTGTCACACTTCTCTGACTGTTTTCTACTACCCACTTACTCTCCAGTGTTGAGAGGGGCTCTGTGAGAGCTAAGTGCTTACCCCAAGAATGTAGCACAGTGGCGGGGTCAGGTCTTGGAACTGGTGAATCTTGCATGCTGATTGCCAGGCTACCATGCTCCCCACTTGTTTTCAACTTCTACACTGATTATGAGCCACAGAAGACTTGTTGGTCATTTAGGCCATATATCAGGGTCACATGTGAAAGTTTTCTATGTGCTGTTAGTATCACCAATATTGACATCATCCTATGCTACACTGAGAGAAATTGTTTAGCTCTATCAATTAATTTAACAAAGATAAGAAGCGATTGTTTAAGGGTGGGACAAAGAAAGAATCTTGTTGTCATTGTCATTGTTTCAGCTTGTCCAAATGGAAAACCTTTCTTGCTGTGTCTACACATGTGTCAGTTTGCTAGATGTCCTGCTTATCCAAAAGCTACTTGCTTCTCTGATCCATGTAAGATGTGCAAGGTTGAATTTCATGATGAACAAGGAAATATTGTCAACTGCACTAAAGGTTTGTTCTGTGCCAATAGTCAATCTTGTGTCAAGGGTAAATGTTATTTATTCTTTCACACATGTTTAACCTGTATTCCATCCAAGAGAGTTACATACATTAACAGTAGAACAATCTTAAACTTGTCTGAACTCACCTTTTTTTTTTGGAATTATTAACCTTTAGTTGGAACATATTGGGCAGAAATACCCAAGCTGACCTTTCTCAAAGTCCAGACAACTTAGATATTTGTAAAATTTACTTAGGAGTAACAGTTTTTGGCTCATCTTATTGTCTAGGTTTAACTCGGTGTCAAGCTCGGCAAAAATTATCAACTGGTATGCTTGGAGAGTTTGTTCCCAAGTGCCAGAGTGATGGAAGTTTTGAGCCAGTACAGTCCCATGAAGGTTACTTCTGGTGTGTTGATGCTGATGGAAAGGAAGTGAATGGGACAAGGAGACACTTCCACAAACCAACATGTCTCAGTCAACTGAAGAGTAGTAAGCTATGAAAAATTGCATATCTAACATTTAGTTGGTGTTGAGAGCATGAATGACCTGGTTTTTATGGTCTGAAAATGCCAGGATGTTAGAATCATTGTCAAGTTCTCGTAAACTCCATTAAGAATTTTTCAGGTATCTTGGGTCATGGTCTTTCAGGATCAGTTGTTTTAGGTTAGATAATCTCCAGGAGTGACTGGTATGGTGATTTGAGGGGAGACTTCATCCCTGTCAGCCAAAACAGGTGCAATCAAATTGATGGATCCCAATAGAACACATGTAATTCATGAACTCACGATTAGTTGATTAGAAGACCATAAATAGAATTATCAACTATCCAGGGCTATCCATGTGCATCAAAAGTTACAAAAAAAAAAAATGTTATAATGTGGCTAATATTAAATTTCTGTGAAGAGTGCTTCATGTACTAAATTTCTCAATGAAAACCTTGATTATTTTCTCAAGACTGTTTTATGAATTGGGCTGATTTGGTAGAACCCAATCTGAACCACCATCAATAACTGTAAAGGAAACCATATTTGAGTAGTCAGTGAACCTAATTCAGATAACTTAGCCCTGTACGTTGAGTGTTACTTGTTTAGGTAGACTAACTGCAGGTATTGGATAATAATTCCACTGCTGAAAACGTGTCAGTAATCAGTGCCCTTTAACATGATGCTTTTTAAAATTTGTTGGTAGGTCTAACATTGTGCCAGTTACAGACGCTACAAAGTGGTAAGTGTAATTATGAATAATTGGGATCCCAAACAAAATGTGTAAATTACAGGTATTCATTGAACTGACCATCATTTCAGGGATGGCTACAAGTTTTGAGGGCCACAAATTATAAACCTTTTGGCCTTTAAGTGAAACCCTCTTTAAATAAGGAGTTAACTTATTTACTTACTTACTAGATGTCAACCTCTGGAAATCTGATATGCAGAGATTTGTTTGTGATCTCCACTCTCATTCCCAAGTTTGTCTTTTTGACTATACTACCCCAATCTCTCCCCAAAATGGAACATGCTAAGTGACATGTGTACTCCAAAAAGGAGAAAAAAAAGAAAAAACAAATGGAATGAAAAATAACATATGAAAAATAATGATTGAAATAACCATTTAAAAAATATCACAAATATTCAAATATGTTATTTTAGAAAACCCTGAAATTTTTCTCATTGTAGATAAAATTTACTTTCAATAGACTGAGAGACGTTGCATGGGAGGTTAGGAGACTCATTCTGTAGGATGTTTTCAAAGTAGCTCTGCCTTTACAAGTGAATGTATTGCAAAAGAACCTGAACAAATTTAGTAGCTAACATTAGAACAGCTAGATGGTATTTTTTCAGAGATATGCAATTCTCAATCTTGACCCCAAAATTCTTGTATTTATTATAGCTGAAATGGTATATAGTGGGCACTGAAATGTTGCATAGCAGGTGTGTGTGTTTAAACAATGTAGTATTGATAACATTTATATCTTTTATCTCTGGAACAAAGGAGAGACTCGTATGCCTGGTCGTTATATACCACAGTGCAAAGCTGATGGCAGCTTTGAAGAAGTGCAATGCCACCCTTCCACTGGTTACTGTTGGTGTGTTAACACACAGGGGTGGGAAATCAAAGGAACTAAAGTGAGAGGAAGACCAACCTGCAGTAAAGGTAATTTATTTCTGATGATCACATGTAACAGTGCAGTCTGATCATCTGGGTAAGTGTAGTCCTGAGAGGGATTGTCGACGGAAGTAGTGACTAACATTTTGACATTCAGAATGTAAGTCCTCAACAGAGTCAAGTGAATAGATGTTATCAGCTGAATGAACTAAGTCCAGTTTGTATAAACTGATTTGTCATTTGGCTGTGATGTTATTAGCCATAAGATTCAAGTGGTGTAAGTTGGTTGTGATGTGTCAGTTTCGATTTGATCACTGTTTTATGTTCTTTTCATTATTTATAACTGCTAGCTCAAGGTAAACAAATCATCCAACACCTCAACTTTTTGAGTTTTAACATTGTGAGACAAAAGATATGAAACACTGTTTAGCTCTCACCTCTCAGATATAGAATTGACCAATTTTCAACTAAATTTTTAATTTGCTCAGGAAAAAAACTTGATTCAATGTTCTGTAAGCTCATAAAAGACTTCCACTATTTCAGTGTGTGCGCCTGTAGTGTGCAGAATGTACTGTGAATTTGGTTGGGCTCAGGGTCCAGATGGCTGTGATATCTGTAAATGCAAAGAGGTTCCCATCAAGCCTGGTTTCTGTCCAGCGGTAGAGCCAGATCAAGTTGCTACATGCACAGAGAAATGCAGCACTGACAATGACTGTCTAGGAAATCAAAAGTGCTGCTCCAATGGCTGTGGTCATGTCTGTACTGCTCCAGAATATAAAGGTACTTGTTGATCTATCCTTGTATGGTCAGAAATATTTTCAATTAATTCATAAAAAGCGCTAATGTTCTAGAAGTTGGACTCTCAAGCTTCCTGAAATATGTATGCTTTGTATGCTGCTGCTTTGTCACATCTGATGATGCATCAAAAATATGGTGTGGATTTAGTTGCTGATTGCAAGAAGGTCATAGTTCAGGTGAAATTACTGAACCGTTTTAAATAAGGCTTTTAGGTGAAAACTGGCTTTTCTCTAATTATGCATAGATACGATGCTCAACCTTGTTATGGCACAAATGATGGTGGAGAAAGCAACTTATTGGGCTGACTCATAGGGAAATCTTTTAGAAGCTTGGGGAGTCTGTTAAAAGTCAAAATAGATAATGATTCAAGTTCAATGTCATTACATTGTTGTTAAAACTGATGAGAAAAAAGAATGCCTCTTTCTGGAAGAATCCCTCTAATTGTGAAGAAATAATTGTTTGAGCGACTGAGAAAGAAATTGATTGGAAAATGAATCCATGCAAGTAACTAACAAGTAACTAAAACTTATTCATATGCCTTAAGATTGCATTAAATTGTGACAATCGTGTGTTGACTGGATGGCACAAAAATAAAATTACTGCTTTTCTTCTGCAGCTAAACCGGGGTATTGCCCAGCAGTTGATATCCACCATGTCGGTATTTGTAAAAGTGAGTGCAGTTCAGACCGTGACTGCCAAGGAGAACAGAAGTGTTGCGGTAATGGATGTGGGCGTGTCTGTAGTGCACCTGTCCGAGAAGGTACTCTTCCTTAGGGCAAAGTTTCTCATTTAATTGTCAGAGAATATTTCCTTAGTAAAGGAGAACTAATATAATTAACAAGAACATTTTGTTGCTTTATATCTTGGTTAGTTTAATTTAAGTCCTTTTATTGCAGATAGTGCGCTACAGTTTATTTTAATTGGCAGTTAATTCAATTTTACACAGCAGGTAACTTTTCATCCAAAATTTGGTGAGGTGTAGAGTGTGATGCTCTTTTCTTTTCTTTTCTTTCCATCTTTTGCAGCTTGTCCCCGTGGTGCCCCTTTCATTATGTGTCATAACAACCCATGTGAAAGAGCTAGCTGCCCTGCAAATCCCAAAGCCAAATGCCTTCCGGATAACTGTGGCGGTTGCAACGCACAGTTCTTTGATGACAACGACAATATTGTGGACTGTTTAGCGAGTACGTATCGTGGAATTGATTATTTCTTCGTGCTCGGGTACCTACTGGAAATATTTGTGATTTGTCAGTCTAGTAATTTGTCAGTTAGTCTATCAGTTCAAACATCCTTAGATATGATATTAAATACATTCTTTATTAATTGTGAGACGAATTAATAATTGATCTTCATGACAGAAAAGTCAACTTTTTTGTCGCATCTTCTGTTTATGCTAAATGAACCAAACGTGTTGTGCTGGGTAGTTTAGAATTATTGTGCTTGAAGATTCTAAGTATGTGAAATGTGAACTGCAGCTTGGCAATCAAGATTTTACAAATGCGGAGGAAGCTTATTGAAAAATGTCATCA